ACTCAAAAAGGCTTCATTCTTCACACCCCCGCTTGTCCGAATGGCCCATGCGTTCAAAGCAACAGGCACCACAAGTGCCATTCTGAAAAAAGGGCTACCGCACGGGGCTCTGTACCTGCTCTCGGGCTTCGTCTTTCAGCCAGCTCCACACTGACCGAATAAGCACTTTCAAATGAGCATATCTGGAAAACAGCAATGCGATAAGCCGAAAAACACTGGAAAACACGCAAATGCCCCACGGAGTAAGAAACAACAGAAGCAAAAACACGGCAACGGAGAACAGAAGCAAGCTACACTCCCGGCGCAAAACGGACTTGGCGACGAACTGTGGCCGGGGCGCTTCCCCCTCCAAGTCCCGAGCTCAAGAACGACGAATGGCCGGACAAGGCTGAAGCACCAATAGACAAACTCATGCCTGACAATGCTCTGCGCAAGCCTTCCGTCACACGGCGGCGGTTTTGAGCTGACATCGGCTGAAAGCTCTCCAGAACAGCAGCGGCGCTGGCAAACAAGGACCTCATGGCAGTTGGCAGCTGCAAGCCTGAAAGCTCGGACAGCATCTGGGCGTGCTTTCTGTCAGAAGGCTTTGTTAGGCAGTCTGTTGGGTTGACTGCCCCCGGAACGTAACTGACTACCAGCCTTCCGCTGTCAGTATGGTGCTGCACCAACATCACACGTAGCTCAAGATGACGAACACGTCGCAACAAGCCTTGCATCATGCTTATGTTCTTTGCGGACTCGGAGTCCGTCCATACCACAAGCTTCATGACACCTGATTCCTGCCAAGCTTCCTGAGGAGGAAGGCCTTCCAGGAAAGTTTGGATGCAAATCGCAACGAACAAGCACTCTTTGGGACACTCCACGATCCCAAACAGCTCGGCCTCAGCAGAGCTCAAGTACGGCGTTGCGATGCGCCTGCTCCAGCTTTTGACCATCGTGTCCCTCCACAACACAACGCCGCCAGCAACACTCCGAACGGCCCAAGATGCATCAGTAATGCCATGGACTTGTTGCTCATCACCTTGCCATTGCGTTCCCGACGTGATGGCCTGAAAGGTACCTTGGAAATTCTTGGCATACCGCAATACTAGACGCATCGCAGTCCAAGATGCCTCAGTGGGCCTCTGCTGGTAGCAACTCAACCAACTAACGTAGTACTGCAACAGCGGAAGCGTCAAGCTGTACCAAGCAAGCTTGCCAAGAACTGTCCTGTATTTTTCAGCGCCAACCGTGTCCAACTCAGGCGTCTCACTGTCAACGTGCCTGGACAAGTCCGGAGGGTTCTCTTGCGACTTGACCGTCAAGCCGCTGGCGGTTTCTATGCCGTCCCAGTACGTAGCAGGCAACCCTATCAACAACGACCCTTCACGCTTCACTTCTTTTCCTAAAAACTCAACGCAACCAACGCACCCATGTTTGAGCTCACCTGTAGGCTTAACTTCATAGTCACGTGCCAGAGCAGTAATGAAGTGCAAACAGGACTCGTGCGCTCCTGCAAACAGGCAATCGTCAACGTACACTACTACCAGAACCAAACCAAATTCCGATGAGTAGTGTCGAAAAACTGCCGCGTCTGCTGTTGCCTCGAAGCCTAGTTTCAACAGCGCACGCTTCAACTCTTTGTACCAGTACACAGGTGCACGGCGCAAGCCGTAAAGCGCCTTGAGCAAATCGAGGAAAATCGGATTTCCCTGCTCATCTTTGCAAGAGGATGGTAACTTCACAACCTGGCGTTCACCACACAAGCTTGCGTACAAAAACGCTGTGGAAATGTCAATGGTAACAAGCGACAAGCCCAAACGAGCACTGATGGCCAACAGCAAACGCAAGCTCTCAAGCGAAGACGTCGGGCTGTAGTGGCCTTCTCGAACTGCAGGAAGACCTGCGGATCTGAGATCTTTGACTACGAGCCTCGCACGGACGCGACCATCATGCTTTTTGACAACAACCCACCTAGTTGGCAGAACTTTTGTGCCAGTTTCCTGCGCTATAACGCGAGCCTCTCTTTCACTGATGGGCACCCCCACCTCAAGCTTTGTGCGCTGAGAGAACTCCTTTCTCATAGCGCCCTCAACCTGCTCATGGGACAAAGCAGCACCAGTTGACTCACAAACCGGCTCACTGGGAAGTTGTTGCCACGCAGTCTTTCCACACACAGCGTCTTCAAACCAAGGGCTACCTTTAGTCGACTGTTCCAAGGACAACAGCTTGTCTGACAAATCCATGGTAACCCAGTCGATCAACAAATCAACCTCCATAGCGTCACTGGATGGCTCAACGGCCATATCCTCCACCCCATCTCCGGAGGCATCCTGAGCAACAATCTCAACGGGACTCTCAGGAACTGACCCTTCAGAAGGTCCAACTTCTGGCGCGGCTGACACTTGAGGAGACGCAGTTGGGACAGGCATACTATCAACAACTGGTGGAACCACAGCACTTGAGGGAACAAAAGGGAGGACGTACAGGGGGCTCCATTTCCATGGGAGCTGGCCCAGGCGTGCTAGGCGGTGCCTCTGCCTTGCGTTTCTTCTGTCGCTCGTTCTCCAACCACTCCCTATAACGCTGTTTGCACGCTTTAGAGTGGACTCTACCATCAGCAACCAGGGGTGGGACCCTCCCTCTTAACCCATGCTATGGGCGGACCAGACGGTGGAATCACAAGTTCGTCGGACTTTTTTGGGGGATCTTTAGGGCTACTAGGGGAGTATAGGGGAGCACCGGGTTCGCTACTTCTAGGACTTGGCGGTGGGAGGCGGTCAGCTGAAAGCTTTAACAGTGGACGCAACTCGTCTAAGCTCCAACAGCACGGTTTCATGGGCTTTGCTTTCTGATACGTCCGAACCTTGCCCCACAGAGACTCCTCAACCCCAGTCCTACCCGACTTACCCGGAATCCCCAAAACACCTCCCCCAACACAAGAAACAGGACCCAAATATACTACTTCAGCCAGCTTTTCTAACCCTGCATCATCCCTTCTCGCCGATGAAGGACCCGGCTTCGCATACACCAGGCTTCCGAACGGAAAAGTGGACAGCTTGGGAGTGCTAGGCTGCCCTTTCATGCGGTCAATAGCGGTGCTTTTGCTCCCTTGTGGTACGTGGTGTCTGTTGTGCACACGGGCCACATACGGAATTAACTAGGACATGAGGGGACTGGAGTAATCTATTCGGGCCTGTATTTGATCCTCAAGGAAAAGAAGGTTGCTACCTACACCTTACTTAATGGTCTCTATCGCTCTTTCAGCCCGGCCGTTACCCTGATGTCTCCCCGGTGGAGACTTCCCAAAAACCGCACCAGTCACAGGTGAGTTCTCAGCACGAACAGCTCTTTGCACTAAGGATTTCAGCTTGTTTTCCCCATCTAATGTGCAGTCAAGCTCCTTCCCTGTCAACCCGCACTCCCTAAACCAGTTGTTCAAAGTACGAACGTTGACATCCTCATCTGAGCTCATGACAAAAGCACCCAAGATAATCCCCAGAAACCCGAAATCCATAGCCACTTCATAAGCACCACGTTTGTGCTTCAACCTGCGGGCCGGGATCTTTCCCCTTGCTCGCATGCAAGTCCTACAAGCGCTACTAAAGGGAAAATGACCATTGGAAATGTGATTCGTGAGATCATCACCCTCTAGTTCTAAGTCAACCTCTCCAGTCTCAGCGTCAAGACCCTGAACATCCCCTTCATCCTCGGCTGCAGTAGGAGGCCCTACTCCGGATGAGCTTGAACTTGGCTCAGACACATCTAGCGCAAGCACAGAACCCGTCACAACACCATTACGGGACTCCTCTTCTGCGTCAAACGCGGCAAGGGACTCCGAACCAGCAACCCTCAACGAGCAACCCTCACTACTCATCTCATCTCTTCCAGCTGGAAACAGCCTCGCTCGCAGTGCTCTTAGAAAGAAAGACAAACCCGTTTCAGAATGCCTACTGCTACACACAGAAGAGACTCTTGACACGCAATCTGAACTGACGGAAAGAGACCTAGCAGAACTTGGGGTGGACCGTCCTAAGCTAGACTCTCGTGACGTTACGGTAGTTGACGTGGTAGCTTTCAAGATGCTCTTGGGGTTGACATGCTGTGCTTTGGAACCGTCTGGTTGAACTGCGGAGGTGGCAGGCGTAGGAACTACAGCGACGCCAGACTCGACTGCTGCAGGTGCCCGTACTGTGCTTACATCCATAGGCACAGCATCTGTTGGCGCCATGCCTTTCTTCAACTGCGCAGTTGCCCACCACGCACGATCTCGAATCTCCAACTTGATGGAAGCTCCCCCTTTCGACATCTTAGACTCCCGCTCGTCTCCCAAAGTCGTCACCCATCCATGCCCCTTCAAAGCATATGGTGAGATGACACTGAACGGAATGTCTGCTATGATGCACTTCGTAAGCACAAACGATTTGACACGCCCCTGACTTCGAGAAGTTTGAGTCAAAAATCTAACTTCGATGTCGACTATGCCATACGTAGCAATGATCCCATCATTTGCAGCCTTGAGTTCACATCCAAGGGAGGGATGTTCCTTCAACACACGATAACTTGACAGATGCCTTCGTGAAACGATGTGCGCAGTAGCTCCTGAGTCATTGAGCCACTGGTCTGCTAAAAGCTCTATGCCAGTGGATTCTGACATCCGCAGGGCTTCCAACGTTGTCTCCGGCAACGGTGAAACATGATCGTTACGTGACTGTGCTACTCCTGACGGCGAGGCAGACTGGACTTGCACCCTAAGGGTCATGAAAACTGCAGGATCCGAAGGGTCAAACGACTCATCATCACCTGCGCTGCCAGTACTGTCCAAGCTTCTGAGCTTTGGGCAGTCCTTCTTTAAGTGGCCCTTTTGGCCACACTCAAAGCAAGGGCCAACCTCAGAACTTGACCTTGGGCTCTTCAGAGGCTTACTTCTGCAGTCCTTTGCCTTGTGTCCTGGCTTGCCACAGTTGTAGCACGCCCCTGACTTGCCCGACTCCTTGTCGTTGCTTGCAGACCTCTGTTTGCCCTTCTCCTTTCCTTTTCCTTTGCCTCTGTCCAGTTCCTCCTTCCCTTTGCCTTTGCTCTTTCCTTTGCCCTTCTCCTCGCCTTTTTGGTTCCCAGCAGAAAATGCATTGACCTGCGCGCTCACGTCTCCCAAAACACGGGTGTTGAGGTCGTAGGTCAAAACGGAGTTCTTCAGTTCCTCAAATGTTGACGATCGCCCATGTAGCTGCACATATGTGCGCACTGTTGGTGGCAAATTGCGCAAAAGAATGAGGACTTTGTCTGCCTCATTGAGAGCCATGCCATCCGTGACTCTGGGCCCTGAAGCTGAACGAAGCAACACTTCGAACTGGTGAAGCTGTGTTTCTACTGAACGCACTGCATCCAGAAGACGCTCTTCCTTAACCACCAGTGAAAGTAGCGAGCTCCGAAAACCGAGTGCTTCAGCCCGACTCTGTATGGACAGTTCACGGTTGATGAGGCGGATGGCTTCAAATCCATGCGCTTCGCCCTCGCGATTTGTTGCAACATAGTGTGCTATGATGCCTTCAACCTTGGCATAGCCAGCGAATGACTGCCTTAGAAAGGAAAGCAAGCGTTGCCCACGTGCTTGCTGATCTGCGTCCAGGGCATGTCGCCAGATTGGATGGGTGTGTGTGATGTGTGATCGCCTCATGGATCTCCCTCGCATACCTCTCACTGATCAAGTTGATCCAGGACAGGAAGGACTCTAACCATGTTCTGTGCCCAAGCAACTCCTGCAGCCTACTCTGCCACGACTTGTAGTCAGCTACTGGGAGATTAACCCCGAATGGTGGCTTACCATCTGAAGGGAAAGAAATTCCCCCGCTTGGCTGGCACCCACCATGCTGCACTGCTGGCATTGCAATGCCAGGTGGCGCTGCAGGTACTGCACCTCCCGTCTGACTTGTCCTGGTCACTTCCAAGGCGTCCAAACGGCGTGTAACTGCATCAGGCTCATCATCTGCATCATCATAGCCATTTGGTTGGCTTGATTGGCATCCGCTTGCGAGGAAGAGGCTGCCTGCGCCTCCCCATGCTCTGCGCGATGCTCAGCACGCTGTTCCGCATTCGCCTCTGCCTCTTCAAACATGAAGGGCGACACCCCTCCAGCTTGGAAAGGGTTGGCACGAGATGTCTGCTGCGGTGTACTGATGTGAAACTCTTCACTCATCTTCCGGAGCCCCTGGAGTCTGTCAGTCAACCAGGAGCTCCGCTACCATGTGAAAATACGGAGCGCGCCTTAGCCGTCGTATCAGCACACCAACGAACCGGTAGAGGAAGTGAATGACAATAGTCGAGCACACACTCACACACAAAGCTCGCTCACCCACTTAGCTTTCACAAGCGTTCAGAGTTGAGCAGATCTCATCTTCACAAGACAGCACTGTTGCCCGCCAACCGCTCGATGCTACAGCAAGCACCTTTTCTCTTGACCGTGGGTCCTTGA